ACAAGAGTGTCCCTTAAGAGTGTCCGACAAGAGTGTCCCACAAGAGTCCGACAAGAGTGTCCCACAAGAGTGTCCCACAAGAGTTTCCTACAAGAGTGTCCCACAAGAGTGTCCTGCAAGTGACCCACAAGAGTGTCTCACAAGAGTCTCCTACAAGAGTGTCTTTTGGACATATGTAGTTTTTCGAACGTGTTTGCGTTCGGGTTCGTGGGTTCCATCTTGATTTTTTCAGATTTGCATGTTTTTGTCTGAAGAACCTCGCAATAAGTGTTGTCCAATTGATTCCAATTGTCTCCTGTTTTTTGTTGCCTTTGTTCATCGCTTCTACTTTAATCACGAAAGCTAGCATGCTAGCTGAGTTCTTCTTTGCTTTAGCAATTGGTAGTGGAATGAGCTGCGTGCCTTAAAGCTTGATATATCACACTAAGGGGGGGGGGGGCGGGCCCCCCCCCCCAAGGGGGATATATCACGCTAAGGCCCCCCCCCCCCCCCCCCCCCGGCATTAGTGGGGGTGTTGTTACACGTTGGAAATTGCTGGTGTTTTGTTTTGCATTTTCAACACCAGGATGTCAAAGACATGCACTTGAATTTTGGATGATCCTGGATAGCGGAAACACATGTAATTACAGGAGAATCAAGATGACACTCATGGGATTTTGCCTGCGTTTTTGCAAAACATCCACTGATTTAGTGTTTGTATTTCGGATTCATTGACGAGCTTTGTCGGAAGCATGGTCAGCTTCGTCGGAAGCATGATCATTTGCCCTTTTTTCTTGTGGATGCATCACATAACATTTCGGCTGCGCCTCGTCAGTTGATGAATCTTCATTGCCTGAGAGCAAAGTGTTTGAATTTACTGTCTTGGACATGTGTGGTTTGGCAAAATCACGAAAGCTAGCATGCTAGCTGAGTTCTTCTTTTCTTTAGCAATTGGTAGTGGGATGAGCTGCGTGCCTTAAAGCTTGATATATCACGCTAACCCCCCCACCCACGGTTCGACTCCCAGCTGCGCCGTGTAGCGGGGGTTGGTTGAACGAGTGTGAACGTAGTTGGTTGGGTGTAAACGGTGGCTTGGTGTAAACGGTGCTGCTGCTGCCGCTCTGCTGCTTGCTGCTGGCGCTGGTTGCCGCTTTTGTAGCTGCTGCTTTGCTACTTGTTGTGGCCTGGTGCTGCTGCTGCTGCTGCTGTTGCTGCTGACGACGCCGCTGCTGCTGCTGCTTGCTGCTTGCTGCTGCTGCTGCTGCTGCTTGCTGCTTGCTGCTGGTGGTGGTGCTGCTGCTGCTGCGGCTTGGTGCTGCGCTGCTGCTGCGTGGTGCTGTTGGCTGGCTGCTGGTTGGTGGTTGCTGCTGGCGGCTGCTGCTGCTGCTGGCTGCTGCTTGCTGCATAGGACTTGTACTTCACTGTTACAAGTTCTTTACCCCTATTTCTAACCTAATGCATGCATAAGCGGGTGGCTAATTTACCACCCAGGTTTGCTATAACCATACACTGGCTATTTCCTCAAGACGCTCTATCCCTGATACCTTTTACCAGTGCTTGTCTTACACTACGGACGCCCGTGTATGCACAGTCCTTGTGATGCTTACCCCCTTTCCGGCTGAAGGCATACATAAGCGGGGGGTAAATTTACCCCCCAGATTTGCCATAACCATAAGCCAACTATTCCCTCAAGACACTCTAGTCCTTATACCTTGTACCAGTGCTTATCCTACACTACGGACGCCCTAGTGTATGTACAGTCCGTGTGGTGTCAGAAATGCTTACCCCTCTTTTCCGGCTCAAGGCATACATAAGCGGGGTGTAAATTTACCCCCCAGATTTGCCATAACCATAAGCCGGCTATTTCCTCAAGACACTCTATTCCTGATACCTTTTACCGGTGCTTATCCTACACTGCGGACGCTCTAGTGTATGCACAGTCCTTGTGATGCTTACCCCTCGTTCCGGCTCAAGGCATACATAAGCGGGGGGTAAATCTACCCCCCAGATTTGCCATAACCATAAGCCGGCTATTTCCTCAAACGCTCTACTCCTTATACCTTGTACCAGTGCTTATCCTACACTACGGACGCCCTAGTGTATGTACAGTCCGTGTGGTGTCAGAAATGCTTACCCCTTTTTTCCGACCCAAGGCATACGAAAGCGGGGGGTAAATTTAACCCCCAGATTTGCCGATCACGCATCTTCGTGCCTGCGAACGAGTGCACCCATGTTGTTCCAATGTACCCTTTCCAGTCGGCGATGTCACATTTACATTCTTTAGCGCAAAGTATGTGCGTAGCAACCTTTCTCCCAACACATGTAATCACTACATGCTTTGCCGACTATGTAACTAGTACATCCGGTGCGATTCGGCTAGCTTTCGACCTCCTCCCCCTGGCCTCAAGTGTCAATCCCCCACTCTATGGCATGGTCCATTTTGCCAATTGATCTTGCCCTGTCTTCCCTCAAATAGATGAAGCCTTCAATCATTTGATCCCAGAACCTGTACACCTGGGGAGGGTCATAAATCCGGTGTCAACATTACTCATGATCTTCAGCGGCAGGTGTTTCATGCACTTCCCTCCCCAAACTGGTTATGTGCTATGTGCCTCCGCTCACTAGTTACAGATGTGACTGCAAATAATATTCTACCCCACTCAGCCCCAGACAGAGTGGGGCCATGGACAAAGAATGAGATGAGGCTATATTGGCGGGAGATTCCATCACTCATTTATATTATAAAGTAGACACCGTAAACATGTTTAAGCCGCACATTTTGGCCAGGTGGTCGACGAGAATTTGCCATCAGTAGTGGTTCTTGAGGACGTTGCTGCTTGGAGGGGGAGGCCTACGATGGCCTACGACCACCCGCCATTTCCAACTCATGGGCCCAGGGGGAGGTCGTGCGATTCATTTCATCAGCGTTTCTCACGCCTACCTAGTCTATAAACCTCTTTTGGCCGTTGGGCAGACCCTGCAAGCACCTGCGGAGCCCCCAGTGCGTTCCCAACAGGACGATGTGCGCCTTGTGGACGGTTTCAGTGAAAAGCTGGAGAAGCTAATGAACGAGCTGCCGAAGGATTGGGAGGCCCTCGGGTCGTCAGGCATCTTTGCTTCCAGGTGGCGCTTCCACTCAGACAGCTCACGGACATGCAGAAGGGATGTCAACGTTTTTCCCTGCAATTGGGTCTATTTTCGGACCACAATGGGAGACTATACATGCCGGGCTTGAAGCCAGAGGCCAATTTGTATGTGTTCCTTTTGGTTAGTTTGGGTGGGACCTGTTCCAACTCTGTGCTTGGCCAAGAGCTCAATCTCATCTCCCCATGCAGCCTTCCTTGCCCTTGCACCAAGCCATGAATAGCCATGTGCAGAAGCTCTTGGCAGTCTTCACTTGAAGTCGTATGCATGAGTTTGGGTTCATATGAGTTGACTCGGCAGGTTTGTTTGCTTGGAGCCATCGTCACTTGGCGAGATTTAGATCCTTGGAAGCTGGATCGGGACACTTCCTTTGCGACATTTCTCAGATTACAGAACAATTTACTGTAAATTGAGACTATTTTCAGATATTTTCAGACATGTTCAATCCCGGTGTTCAGAAGGGATGCATCGGGATGCACAAATGATATATTAGATTATTTCAGGGTCCCAAGCCTTGATTCCTTGAGCGATGAGTTGCATTGAGGGGAACATCAACCCCGACGTGGAGAAATTTCACATGAAGCTGCTCGGCTCGGTTGAAGCCCTTTTTTCAGTGGGTGAAAAACCTCGGATGCACAAGCAGCAAATAGCTTCTAGTATCAAGGTGCATCGCTACTAGTAACAAGTGCATTACTACTTATCAAGAGGATCAGTTCTATTTGTGCACTGTTCTTGAGAAGCATGCCGCACGAGCTGAGGCTCTATTCGTTTTGCTTCTTGGTTGAAGTTACAGAGACTGGAAGCTGCTTCGAGTTTCCATCTAAAGACCGTCCCGGCAAAGCACTTCCACGGTCACAAGCACAAACCGTGGTCCACACATGTCCACACCTTACATGGTGAGAAGTACCATTCAACCAAGTAATGATTCATTCAGTGAGGCAGCAGACATGTGGCACATGCAGTTCACACAGTTTTGACCAGCTTGTTAGTTTGAAAGCATATGGACGGTGTGTGTATACATATGTGCCTATGTATATAGTATATTCTGTATATAGTATATATATATATTTATGTATATAAACATACATTTACATTATGCGCAATACACGTTGATGGTTCTTCACTGCCTGCTGCTGACGGATGCGTCTCAACACTAAGGAAACACATTCCAAGCACTGAGCACGCTTACATGTCCCTTGAATCAGCCAGTTGCACCATGAAGCACAGCTGCTACACAAAGCACACTCCAGATGTCTACTTCTTCGTGTCTCCTCACACCCAGTTGTGCATCTGAAAGGAAAACATCACATCCTCAAGGACCCGGCGGTCACAAATGGTGTCGAGGGGCCGGCCAAGCCCCGGGGTGTCTCCGCCGGTCGGATCATGCCTGCGTGGGTCGTTGTGTCACGTTGGTCGTTTCAATCGGCTCTTCCGGCCTAGGCGTTGGGGGTGGCCGGCCTTCACCGGGCAAGACCCGCCGCGTGTCGCCTGGGCACCCAAGCAGCCACACCTGGCATCGTGCGATTCTTCACTTGGCATCATGCGATTGTTTGTTGAAAGATGTTGAAAGGAACATGTGAGAGTTGAAAGGAATGTACTCAATAGGGTGATTGTATGCATATACTGTATATCACGTGTGCGCGAGAGATGATGTTTCTTCATGTCCCTCCTTTCCACTCAGACGTTTTCAGCTCTAAAACGCTTTTTTTTCGAACGCCCCGTTCCCTGCCGCCATGCGCTCCAACGGACTCTTGGTCTCCGCAGTGCTTTGCGTGGGCACCTTCACCTTGACCCACCTCGCTTTTGTGGGTCCCGCCACTGGTGCGAACGCACCCAAGGTGGCGCGGGCTGCGCGCGGGGGCGGAGAGTATGATATCAGTGATGCGGACATCCAGAACTTCTACAACTCCTTGCGACTTTGGATGAGTCAGTTGTGGTGATTGGTGATGCTATCAGAATGCTAGGCTTGACCTGTTTGCCTAGGTTTGATCTAAATGGACCGCAAGAATTCGATCCGGAATGTGAATGTTCAAGGAGTTTGGACCAAATTGGAAAACTAAAAGTCAAGCAAGCAATCCGCACCCCAGCAGGGAAGACTTGCCATCAACATCCATCAACTCATACCAACTCATTTGTGGGAGGGACACCTACAGTATCCAAAAGTGGTTTGCATCTTGAAAGAAACATCAAACAACCTATTGATTTCCTATTGTATGGTCAAATGGTTCGGCACACAGGCAGTGCAGATCCTGAATACCCATGGACATCGGGTGTTTGGAGTTGTTTTTGGCTGGTGCACGAAAGGTTTTGTGACTGCGCGCATACCACCCGATCGGGGGTGGGGACTGTCGGTGGTTACGCTGCCATCCGATGCATAGAGTTTGTCATCGGTTACACAGAACTTGATCAACTGAATGTTGTTTCTTTAAGGACACATATATATATATAACTATATAACTATATATATATATATGTTTGGTCCGGCCGTGGAAACCAGTGTTTTGAGACACCCACTTGCTTCGACGGGTCTCGATATCGTTGCATTTGTTTGTGCCCAGGTTGACCGGGGCGGGCGGCGACCCGCCCAAGGGTACCGTCCTCTCGGAGTTGGTGGTGAAGTTTTTCCACGGTGACTTCACTCCCCAGGGGTTCAAGCGCTACAGTGGCCTTTGGATGCTGAATGGCAAAAAGTGAGGTGGTTTGTTCGGGCAGAGTAAGAAGCGTGTGCACCTTGTAGGAAGGAGGAATTCATCCATGGAAACCCACCTGATTACTTTGGGGAACGGCTAGTAAGTAGCAGTCACTTGGCAATTCGCTGGCCAGCTCAGAGGACAGTGAAAACCAATAACAAGAGGAAAAGACATTTGACAAGCAACTGGTACCTTAGGACTATTCCGTTTTGGGATGGGAACCGTTTGCTTTTGGCCATCAGTTGGCGGTGCACTTAGTGAGGCACTCGACAAGCAGTACACTCAATACATGTTTAATAATGTTTATATATTACGAAAGCCAGCCTTCGTAGAAGGCGCCAGCTGAGTTGTGTTTGGCGAACGAAGTGAAGAAGTAGGGGTCTCGGGGGGTGGCCCGCAAACGTACTACGTAAACTCGAAATTGGATGGGGGAGAGGCACGGATGGAAGTAGGCTTTTGAGGTTGAGTTTTTGTGATTTTTGAGGAGGTGGTGATGCAAGAAATGCAGCTTGCATCATTTGCATCATCTCATTGGTAAGGTGTAGCCGGCGCCTTGCCAGGTATAGATACCCACCGCGCCAGGGAGCAGAATTGTAGCTTACCCTGGGTCCGTATAAATGCTATGTTGTTTTACCTTTTACACTGAGTTGTAGCTACCCTGGGTATCTATACCTGGCAAGGCGCCAGCTGAGTAAGAGGGTGGTTTCGGGGGGGTGGCCTGAGAAAATACACTCGGAAGTAGGTGGTGTACAGGGGTGCATGGAAGCAAGGTTTTGGAGGTGTTTTTTTACTTTAAGAAATGCAAGTGTCTTCGGTTGCTTGTTGGCAACTGAATTGTAGCTACCCTGGGTATACCTGGCAACTGCCTTGTAGCTGCCCTGGGTCCGCGCGCGCGCGCCTATATCTAGGGCAGTCGGGAGCCAGCCCCAGGGTAGGGAAGTTGAAGTGCAATAGATGTATAAACAGACTTGTAGCTACGGTCCGTATACATGCTATGTTGCTATACCTCTTACACACGTATATAATTCAAAGCATGAATGAGACTTCAAAGCTGTGGATTGCTGTGCGTGTGTAAAGGTTATCGAGCGGTTGACGGAAAGGGAACTTGAAGTACTATACCTGGTATCTGAATTGTAGCTACCCTGGGTATCTATACCTGGCAAGGCGCCAGCTGAGTAAGAACGGGGGGCTGAGAAAGCACACGGTGTGTAGGGGGTGCACGGAAGCACGCCGTGCGCGATGCTGCATGCTGCCTTTGGCCAACAACGTGCTCGTGGACAAAAAACGCTGGCTTTCGTTTTGCAGCTTCTCAGGTGTTTTATCCGATGATTCGCCGATGATGATATGATGAGTAAGTCCCGGTTGGCATCAGCCGTGTGTGTTCTTCCAACTTGTGAACGGCCAAGACCACATGTTTGGGGCATTTGAACGCCGGTTCTGCTTGGCGATTTGGGTCGGGGACTTGTGCTCGGATGCTAAGGAAGGGACCACCTCCTGGGAACATTGGCAAGAAGGACATCGCGGTGGGCGTCGCCGGATTGAAGGCACAGATGGCCAACCCCATGTTTGTGGCTTGGCGTTTCCAACGGTCAAAGGGGGGGGATAAGGGATTTAGGGCATGGGGCATGGTGAAGATGCCTTTATGTATGAGGTGTTTGTAACGTCGCAGCATCTGAGAGATAACAATAACGGTGCACACGGTATACTATGAGACTGAGCAGGTTAGTGTTAGTGCAAGTCTCTCACCAATGCTTTCAGCAGATGATCCCTTTGTGCTGTCCGACATGTTTGTGCTGGCGACTTCGGAAGCTTCACCTGCCTACGGGCGTGGTCGTTGAGCGGGTCGTCAACAGGTGACCAAGGGCGGTGTGGGCTACGGCGTTGATGAGACGCAGAAGGTTGAGGATGATGGCAAGGGCTGGGTCTGGCTTGCTGCCGAGATGAGCCCTGGAGGAGCACGGTCCCGGTAGTGGAGCTGAAAAAACTTGAATACAAAATCTAATCCATGTTCTCCCCAAAAAAACAGTTACCGCCCCCTTCAAATAGGTGTGGAAGACAAATATTTTTGTACCAAACTGAGGCTATGTTAGTTTGCGGCAAGGGTACAACCTGTCGTTCAAACTGGGCCCCAGATATCCAGAGCCCCAGACGTGGCAGTTTTCCAGGTTTGGCCGTGGAGCTTTTCAAGTCTGTACCCTACGGAAAGCGTGCCATCCTGGTGGCCAAGCAGAACAACGTCGATGAGCTCTTCCAGAAGGAGGGGTTTCAGACCATGCCTGGATTATTTCAATTGCTCTCCCACAGGACCGTGTTGAAAACCTACTAGACATAGCAGACTAGACATAGCAGACTAGTTGGATGATGTTGGAAGGCTGTGTGTTTTCCTCAACATCAAGTCCTAAGCGAACCTGCGTGGCCCCATTCTTCCCTCCAACCCAGCTGGGGCAGAATTCGATCTGAAGGGGATGGATGGATGGAGCGAGAGAGAGAGAGGAGAGAGAGAGAGAGAGATAGAGAGAGAGGGGGGAGATCAGGGAGATGGTGGATCAAGTATGATAAAGTTATTTGTGGTCCAAGAGTCCTAACCAGAGGCGCTGGATTTTTGAAGGTTGGTTTTACTCCTTTGAACTGTGCTTTTCCAAGTGCTAGGTGAACTGGGACACGGCTTTGGGCAACATCGAAAAGACCTTTGGAGGGCCTCAGATCAAGCAGCGCTGAGGTGGTCAACGCTAGCAAGGCAATTTTGGGGTTCTGTGGAGCCGAAGGGCTGGGGCAAAGCTATTAGAAACAAGTGCATCGCTGCTAGTAACAAGTGCCTTACTACTAGGAGCAAAGGACGCTATTAGGGGCTCCTGGCCGTACTACTAGGAACAAGAAGCTACTAGGGGCTCCTGGCATCGCTACTAGGAGCAAGGACGCTACTAGAACCGAGACTAGGCAACACAGGGGGAGGTGAACATGTTCAGCTCTGGTCTGTTCTCATTGCTAATTGGTGTAGCCAGCTTATGACCGAGATGGACCTTTTCTCACTCATCAAGCGGGCCATGTTCAGCATTCAAACCCGTCAACGCCCAAATCAGCCTTGAAGGTGGTGGACACCTTCAAAATCCCCCAGATATTTTGGATGTTTGGGATTTAAATCTACTCTGAAACCGTCAGGAAAGAGATACTTGGAATCCATGAGATGAACGATGAACTTATTCATGTGGTGTGCTAGTCTTAGAGCAGAATTAGGTTCCGCGTGAGTAGCTTTGGTCGTCCTGTGCGGATGAACTAGCGCCTAGACCTAGGACCTCAAGAGATGCAAAAGGGACTGCACAGTCACGCTGTGAAAGCCAGAGGCCCCAAATGAGCACACGTGAGAAGGCTGGAATTACTATTGCTTTTTCTAGAGTAGTTTGGAGATTCTTGGATAGGCAGCCAGCTGAGCCATCAGCCTCAGATGCTGCGCCACAAATTTTAGCCTCTTGAGACGCGGATCGTAGATCTCCGACACCGATGCCGCCCTTGGCTGTTGGGATCGGCCGGAGTTTCTTCGACCTGCTGTGGTATCCAAAAAGTGGTCCGCCAATCTTATTACAATAAGTGTTGATTGCTCCTGGTTTTTGCAGCTTTCTATCGTTCCTTGCACCTTGAGTATTACAGTAGGACGCTATTAGGTGGAGGCCATCGCAAGTAGGTTGGAGGCCATCGCTACTAGTAACAAGAAGCTACTAGTAACAAGGTTGCTTGATTGAACAGATTCGGATTGGGCACGCTATATTTGACTCGCGAGCTTTGCAGCCTTCGGGTTGAGCTAAGAGGTGACTTCAGGACATGGTTTTCTCCCGCTAGACCGAACAAGAGGTTACTGGAGCAGATGATCACATACAGCCGCCGCACCAGCGCAATCCAATGCAATCTAGCTCAACATGCAATTGTTTTCGCCAGTTCCTGTATAGCATGCAAGCCACTAGAGTCTCCGGCTTGAGATTACTTTTTGTCTTTGACACCGCTGGTTACTGCCTTGATTTGATATGTGCGGTAGTGGTAGCTGTTTTGTTGTTTGTTTTCGTTGGAATGGGCAATTGCAGTTCCTTTTCTAGGTCACCTGATGATTTGAGCCTTGATGCTTGCAAGGGTTCTACTTTTGGGGGGGTTGGGGAAGGTGGGCTCTCTTGACACAATCTGATAGAAGAGCCCATATGTATTTTCGATTTCAAGATCACATAGCTGCCACCAGCCCAGAGAGTTGTGATCTGCAACTCCAACTCGGAGGAGGGGGCAATGATTGGACAATGATTCCATATCGTGTCGAGAGACTGCTCTTCAAAGGGTGTTAGAGGTGGGCCACCTGAACGTTGGCGCGTAAGGCCTGGAGTATTCGTGCCTCATCGACCTGCAGGCTGGCGAAATGAGAGTTTCATCCCGGCTCATTTGCATGACCTGGTGGCAACACAGATGGCTCATGAGAAGCCCTTGAAGTGCTGTCACTTGCCATGTAGGTGACATGATCACACTAGTTAGTCACAAAGCGGCAGAGGTGCCCCACCTTCCAAAGAATATCAGCTCAAATCGTTTTGTGCATTGCATTTGGGGTGAAATCCATTTGATGTTGCTTCTAGTGGAAGATTGAAATGCTGGAGTCCCGTAGGTGCATACAGCAGCTGCCCATGTTTGACGTACTTGATTTAGTAGCAACTACCTAGGGAGACAAGGCTTCCCAACGAGGGGATGCCCAAACAGCTCAGCCCACCACCTACTGCCAGGCACTCATGCTTATTTGGTGACTTGGCTGGGTGGGTGTTGCGACCTGGCACATCGCCGAGTGGTTTGTGGTGATCCTTGCGATCTACTAGTGCCAGCTAGGCATGGCCAGCAGCACCAGTATATATATCTCACACTCAAGTGCCAAGTAAGGTGCCAGCTGAGAGAGAGAGGGAGAACCATGTATTATATATACTGTGTATTTATATTGTATATATATATATATGTATGTATGCATGCATATTTCTGTGTATATATATATATATCCACCGCTCAGGAGTTTCCTTGGGACTGACCCGATTGCATCACAGACCCGCGCAGTCCCAGGTCTCAAAGAAAGGTGCTGAGCGCTTGGTGAAGGAGCCAGGGACAGAGATGTGAGCACTGATTCCGTAAATTCTATTCATTGTGGCTGTACGGTTCTAATTTCCAAGATTGTCCAGCATGTAGAGACGGAGAACTCAGCCAAACCCGGCAAAAAACTCACTGACATTTGCCCTGGTGATGCACTATTGAAAGCCCGCAGCACCTAAGCCATTCAGCGGGGCTGCTTTTGTTGGAACATGTGATCCAAGTTGATGGTGCCCTGTTACTGCTTTGTCATCACTCAACAGGCCTGTCGAAATATACGGTCCTCAAGACTCAAGAATGACAAGAATGAGTGCAAAATTGATGTGGGTCGGAAACCCTTGCGAGGCGCACCTAAACTGACAGAAACTTATATTAGTTCCCCGCTGCCTGAACCTGGTTAGCCACATCAAACAGGCATTTCTGAAATTTCTTTAAATGTCAAGATTTTTGCACCGCCATAAGTTACAGTTATATGGGCTAACACCTTTAACCCCTGAGTGGATGACCCGTTTAGAGAGGGAGGTTCAGGGGTTACATATATATTACTTAATGACTTAATACCAATCCCATCACGTGATGCAAAACTCTGGCTTGTTTTGTAAATGAACAGGCCTACAAATGTTTACGCAAATTTTACTTGGACGATCTGGGGTTATGGAAGCATGATGAAGCATGAAACAGCAACATTTGTTCACCTTTGCTCCCCATGGAGCGGATCTTCGAAAGCTGCTAGGAGTTACCCTTGGCCTGCTACCACGTGGACTTGACAGTGTGGGGGCCCGGCCAGGACCACCTATAGCAGCAGTTACTGTATGCAGGTACGGTATAGTAGTATCAAACTAGAAGCAACTGGCCACTTCACCTAGAATGACCTGACGCTGCCAACTTGGAAATTGTGGCATGCGTCCCCGTCCCGAATCTGGCAGCTCAGCTAACAGGACCTGTGCTGCATTGCATGACCGATAGGTCCGCAATATATGTTGCCGCAAAATCCTCAGCTAGGGAACGAGATTTGTCCTACTACCTGTAACAGTTGGTAAACAATTATCACTGTCACAATTATAGAGAAAGGCCTCTACCAACCATCATCATCATCATCACCAGCATCATCGTCATCATCATCATCATCAATCATCATCCACTGTTACTGGTGATAGGATAGACCCAACGTATATACTTCTCGTATCACAAGATAAGCATTTTGTTCAGTTGAGGCGTTTTGCGCTAGAGAGCACGTAAGCGTGGTACGCGTACACCAAGTCATACACAGCATCGTGGAGGAGGAGCCTTCAAGAGTTTGCAAGGAATTAGTTATATAGTCGTAATAATTTTCCTTGTAGAGTGTTTCAACATGAGAGGATCCACAGGAATCCCCATCAATCAGACTTTTTGATACACAGCAGTGGGCAAGTCCCTCATCCGTTTTCCAGGTAAGAAAATCCTAGGTTGCATGCTAGTTTTAGAATGTTTTAGAGAAGGTAGATGGCAGGCTCGAGTTAGTGTTGTGCTTTGGGGCCAATGGCCCATGTTCCCTCACCTAGTCAACCCCGTTGGTTTCCCCAGGCCTGGTCCTTGCCCAACTTGAAGCTCTATTGTGCTGTGGACCAACTGGCCACACAGGTCGCCCACGGGGCGGACCGGAAACTCTTCACGACCGGACCGAGTGAATTGGACGAGTGGACGGTTTCCATTTGGGAAGAACGTTTCTGAAGGTTCGTGCAGTTGGGAACCATGTTGCCGAGTGGATAGAGCCATGGTTCTTGTAAAAGAAGCAAATGCTGAAAGTAGTTGTGCAGGTGCGTGAAGAGTTTGTGATTGAAACAATGCTCCAACGGATAGGCTTCAACACAAATAGTCAGTACAGTCGTCAAGTCAACCTTGCTGCTCCCAAACTTTTCCTCACCGACCACATTGTGGACTATTTATTTGTTAGGATTTGTTGCTTGCAGCGCTACCATCTACAGTGGTTAGTAGGAAGCTCCTGAAAGGTCCAGCTGCCAATCATTTGCACGCGATGAGTTTCACCCTCAGGATTTCGAGGCCGCATCCACTGCTGGCAGCCCAGATGAAGCCGTTTTTCTTCTCAAGTCCTGCTCAGTATTTTATGCCGTAGCTTGACAAGCTCAACAAACATCAATGCTGTACGATGCTGTATGTAAAAAAACTTTACAAGACATTGTGTTGCATCAGACTTGGGGCAACAAAAGCCATTGCGTTCCATTATCGATCAAGAGCGGGCCCCTTGTTGACACTGTAGAATTTGAGAACGCAAAAGCCATTTTGGTTTGCTTTCGACCAGCACTTGTCGACCATGTGGGCTGTTTTCGCTTGCAAACCGAGGCAGAATGTGACACCTGCAACAGCATGGTCAGGTCAGCGCGTGTTCGCCGAAACCCGCCGGAACCCGGCCAGCGTGAGGTCTCGAAGTCTGGTGAGGCCATGACGCAGCGCTTCCTGCAATGGGCCTGGAACATCACAGGCGGTCGCTGTGCACATGCCGTATGGCCAAACTGTTTGAAGAGGAAGTGGAACGAGGTGGAGCATCTCGGATGTTTAACTGACGTGACGTGGCTGACACCTGGGCTGATGCTCCCTCTGGCTTGCTGCCGCCACCAGAAATT